CGTCACTGCAGACCGAAAGCAACGATTTGGAGAAATGGCTGAAATGGGATAAACGCCGGCGTCTTCTCGAGTATATCATCGCCAATAAGGAGTCGGAAGTGAGTAAAAACGAGATCTTAAAACTCGAGCGAAGACAAGAGGCGGAGAATCAGGTGTTGGAAGAGAAGAGGAAACGTTTGGAGGACTTCCAGCAGAAGTGCAAAGTGTGCGACAAGAAGTTGAAGTTGATATGCGGTATACTCGACGAACACCGCAAAGACTTGAAGCAAATCACTAAACAGATGAACGAATTGGACGAACAGAAGGCCAGAATTGAGTCGAAAATCAATGATTTCAAAGAGAGTCTCGATTACAACAAAGAGAGCGAATTGAAGGCCAAACAAGAGCTGTTGGAAGTGAGGAATGAGATCGACAAGAAGAAGAAGCGATTGGTTTTTGTGACCACAAAGTACGACAATTTGCGGAAAAAGGAAAACGATTTGGTCTGCGAACTGAAGGCCAAACAGAGCCGCAAAGTGGAGATCTATTCCAAACAGAAGCGAAAGGAGAACTTCCGCACCGTTGAGGACAGGGATAAGTGGATTCAATCGGAATTGACTGCTCTTAAGGGACAAATCGAGACAAACACTCGACGAGTGAAGGTTTTGAAGGACGAAGAGTACGAGACGACCGCCGAAATTGATGAGTTGACGGAACAGCAAAAGGTTTGGCCAATACTTTAAACACCAAATTGCATATTGATTTGCATTTTGTTATTTCATTTCAAACAGTCATTTGTAACCAAAGCGAAAAATCTGTTTAAAAGCCTTCAAAGCGAGAGACAAGAGTTGTGCGAAAGCAGTAAATTAGGCAAACAATTGGAATCAAAGCGACGGTAATTGTGTTGAAAAGTGTCTTATTTTGTATTGAATTAAAAATAAATTGTTTTTGCAGTGAATTCTGGCAATTGGACAACGAATTGAAGGCAAAAGAGTTTAAACACAACGAAGACAAGCAGAAGATTGAGTCAAAGCTGAAGAAAATGTCGGGCTCTTCGGCGACAGTTAGCAGAGACAGTGTCGCCAAAGTGTTGCAGTCATTCGAGGAGAGGGCCGACAGATCGGACGCCGCAGAAGCACAGCTCCGGCCTATTATCGACGGCTATTTGGGTCAATTGATCGACTGTTTCTCATTCGACCCGAACCTCTCCAAAGTGGTCGAAGTGACCGCAAAAAGCAAACTTTTCAGTCATATCATCACAAACGACAAAATCGGCACAAAAATCATCGCCGAAGTGAATGAGCGACACCTTCCGGGAGAGTTCAATTTCATTGCCATTAATAAACTCCAATTGAAACCAATCAAATACCCGCAGTTTCAGGTAATGCCATACATTTAAGTCATAATTACCGCACATATGAGATAACCTGTTGTACTGATGACCACCAGAACGACGCCCGACCGCTCACTAGTCTATTGAAATTCGACCAGAAGTACGAGAAAGTGATGAAATTCCTGTTCGACCGAACTCTGGTGTGCCGTACGCTCGAGTTGGCCACCACTTTCTCGCGCAGCGCTAAACTCGATTGCGTGACAATTGACGGCGATTTCATCTCATGTAAGGGATACATGACTGGCGGCTACTATGGAGTGGACACTCGGGTCGAGAATTTTCTCAAATGGAAGTCTATTTTGTCCCGAATCGATGCCATTCGGCAAGAGATGGCCCAATGTTTGGGCCGACGGGAGGACAACGAGAAGCAATTGATTCTCAACTCGAATTTGATGACCGAATTGGACATAAAGCACAACAACACGAAGCGTGAGTTCGATCATCTGAAGAACTCAAAGGACAAAATGCATCAACAGTTGGTGGCGTTGAAGACCAAACAGGAGTCCATTGCCCGCAGTATAGCGTCACTGGAGTCCACTCTGCCGTCGATGAGAGCCAATAAGGAGTCGTTTGAGAGCGAACTCGAGTTCAAGACATTGGACTCGCAGTTGACCAGCGATGAAGAGCGGGAGTTATCGGCCATTTTGAAGGAAATTGAGAGCCTGTCGGCGAAGCACTCGGACCTCTGCGAGCGGCGGAATATATACGCCGACGAGAAGTCGTCACTGGAGTCCGAATTGGATAAGAATTTGGTTCAGAGGAAGAATGAATTGGAGATGACTTTAATCGACG